ATTGGCTGACATGGTAAACTTTTACACCAAGAGGGAAGAGGTGTTTCTTTTTTCACTTGCAACCGGAGAGTGTTTGCTACCTCTGTCCTTAGAAAACGCTGTTTTTACTGTAAACACCACTGTTTTGTTCAGAAAAAAACATCGCAAGGTTTGGCATTTGGTAAATCAAATGGACCATTACGGCAAAGCTGGGATGGTCAATTTGTTAAAGTAAATCCGTTGGGCATCTTTCCTCGCCTTTAGACAATAATTCTGATGGCAAAAGAGCCAAATAGACAGGCAAAAAAAACAAAAAACATTGCATGTATTTTTTATCATAATTCTGGTTTTATGTGGCCTATCGACACAATTTAAAAACTGGTATATAGTTTGAAGTCCGCACTTTCGACCCAAGTTGAAATGGACTCTGCGTCCTCTTTTTGCTGAGTCGACTTAAATTGTCATGTGATTTTGACACGCCGGCATGTCCGTCAATCCCACGGGGTTAAACTGTTTCTTCAAATTTGGGAGGATGAAATTGTCCAAAATGTCTAGCATTGAGAGTTCCTTTCACTGGAACCAAGAGACTGAGCCCAGCTCCTGAAAAACTACCTTGCACTGTAATCCCGCCCCACCCACCACCACCACCAAACTTAACACTTATCCATTGGATAGTCAGAAGTAGAAGTGTGATTTATCATTCCAGAGAACACGTCTCGATTGCTCTGGAGTCCAGTGGCAGCATGTTTTACACCACTTCATCTGACACTTTCCATTGGGCTTCATGATTTACGGTTTGGATGCAGCTGCGTGCTCATGGAAACCCATTCCATGTAACTCTCCATGCACTGTTGTTGAGATAATCTGAAGACCACAAAGTTTGGTGGTCTGTATTGATTGACTCTACAGAAAGTTGGTGACATCTATGCTCGATACACCTCAGCATTCAATGGCATAAGGGCTGTGCATTGCCATTGATTTCTATAATCGATGTGATTCCTCTTCACAAGGTCCCGTTCGATTAGATCACTGATTTGATTCTGAGAAATTTTGCCTCAGACAGTCAGAAGTATTATAATTCTTATCAGTACTGAAACTTTAGAAGCTTCATCAGAGGTATAAGCATCACTGTAGATATCTTTGTGTCAAAGTAACTGTGGATAAAACACAGAAAACATGAAGGAGATTTTCCTGGCCTGGCTTCTTATAGCAGAAAACAACCTTTAAAATATTCTGCAGTGGAACAAAAATGAAGGAAAACCATGAATCAACATCTGAACATTACCTGATGCTGCTGAAGTGAAGCAGAGCAAAGTTACAGAGGTTTTATTAGATACACAGATAAGGGTTTGCAATTTGGCATCATTTAAAAAGTTCACATTAATAATAACTCATAATTAAAACAGAGGTGTATAAACAGACAATGAGTGAAAAGAGGTGAAAGAAGGAGAAACACTGCAATAGATATATGGAATAAATAGATTTCCTGTCTGTGATTGTTTATGTTATGTCTGTGTGAAACAAACATGAACTAAAGAATCAAATTATTTAAAGGAAATGTTCCAGCTCTTCCTCCTCCATCAGAGATTCTCTCCATACCTGAGAGTGTCCAGTCTCCAGCCTGGATCCTTCAGTCCAGCCGACAGTAGCTTCATTCCTGACCCTCCTGGATGATTGTAGCTCAGGTCCAGCTCTCTCAGACGGGAGGGGTTGGAGCTCAGAGCTGAGGCCAGAGAACTACAGCCTTCCTCCGTGATCAGACAGCCTGACAGACTGCGGACAAAAAACAACACAAAACAGTTCAGCTGTGAATACTGGAAGCCAATGTTGCAGTTTCAAATTTGTTTCTGTGTAAAATGCCTTGGACCCAGAAATACTATGGTCACTGGAATGCCTTCATGCACATTTCTGATAACCAATAACCAAAGTTTTTTATTTATTAAACTTTTTTCTACTTGATGGGTGTGTCACAGAACAGGGAACAGGGAATTGGTGGTTTATCAGAAGTTTATGTTTTAGGCCACACTTGCTAATTTTCAAATAATATTTTCAGGACAGTAAAGTACCTTTAGCGTTGAAAGAGGCGGCTAAATAACAAATCATTTGATACTGCTGGTGGTGACACAGCTGGAGAACCACAGACCATACTGCTAGTGACATACTAAGAATTGAATTTGCTGGTGATTGAAGATAAAGTGTATAAGTGTATTACAAGTCTAGTACAATTAAAAAATAAGTCACTATGTAAAAATTTGAAATTAACTGATCTGAAATGTTTAAGCTACGCAAATCACCAAATTGTGTTGTAACAGGTATATAGGTAGATACAATAACACAGTGAGAACTAAAGATTATAGCACACATGTTATTAAAGCTTCTCTACCATAATGAAACATCTGTGAGAAATCTGTAAAGGACTTACACAGAAACACAATAATTAATGCTACCATTCAGACCTACAGCCAATTTACAATCCTCACGTGACAACAGTAGTTGGAGGAGTATGGGCTCAAATTGTGGTCATAATTTTTTTGTGCTCAGGTTCCCTGGCTGTGTGTGGATTTGGAAGTACAATTTTTTCTTCCTTTCAGCTGATTGGTCAATGTCATGTAAAGCACAAATTTAACAGTCCAATCAGAGAACAGATGGGTTTGGGTGTTGGAGAGGCACTTTACTGAGCTTCACATCCTGGAAGAATAAATGCCCTTTCACATGCCAGCCCAGCATTTTCCTTCATCACCACAAAGGAAAACAGTCTGTGTGTGTTTATACTTGTAAAGTGGATACACAGCCAGGGAACCCGAGCGCAGAGTTTTACACCTAGATTTTTGCTTTGTATCTGTAACCAGACCTTAACAAAAAAAATTGAAACTTGTCTAAATATTTTTTTACAAACACAAATCTTTTTTGCACGCACACAAATTGTCATCTGTAGATGCACAAATATACCATTTTCACATATTTTGGTTTACAAGGTTACAAAACTCAGTTCACAAAAAAACATTTGATTTAAAAGTACAAAATATTTATGACCACAATCTGAGCCCACAGAGGAGAATCCACACACGTACAGGGAGAGCATGAAAAATTTCTTTGTGGCACCAATGCATCTGAGGCAAATACATGTTGATTCTCAAGGGGAGACACAACAGATAAAAGAAGTACCCAATATATAAGCTTGGATTTCTGCATAAATTGACACAGAGGTCATTGGTTATGGTTATTGGCTATGTATCGTAAACAGATAAACCGGACTAAATTCTGCAGCAGACAGTGGAGCACTTTATCTGTTTCAACTTCACTGCCACTGTCACAGTTCTGGGTAAGTTTGACCCAGTATTTTGAGTTATGTTTTGGTGTGTTTTCGCATTTTGGATTCTTTTCTCATTGTGGTGCTTTTGATGATGATGATGATGATGATTATTATTATTATTATTATTATTATTATTATTATTATTATTATGAATCTATGTTTCAGTTATTCTTGTTTAGCGATTAGTTCTCAGGTTTTGTGTTCTCATGTTTAATGCAGGTTTAGTTCAGTGTCTAGTCTGTCTCTCAGTGTTGTGTCTGCGTCTTTGTTTGGTGGTTTCTTGTTTCCTGTTTTATTGTGAAAGTCTATGTCTTATGTCAGTGTGTGCAGCTTTGCTCCCCCTGTCTCGTTAGTCCAATCCCTCCCAGCTGTGTCTCCCTCCTGTTGCCCATTCCCTAATTACCACCCTGTGTATATAAGCCTGTGAGTTTCCGGTTCTCAGTGTTCGTTGTTCTGTTCATGTTTTGTTCATTGCCAGCAATAAAGCTGTGGTTTTCTGTTGAAATTTGGCTTCACGAGTCCTGCGTTTGGATCCTCACCTCCGCCTGCCCGCACACAGAGCCCTGACAGCCACAGGATCAGATATAGAAAATATTTCCTTTATTATATTTAGTGCCTTCTTTTGTGGAATCTTTTACATTTCAATTTGTTTGTGTTACTGAATGTAGCTGAATAAGTATATATTCAAAAACAGACCCAAAAAACTTTTATCCATTTTTACAATTGATAGGTGCGGTTTATTTCTTTTTTGACTTCCTTAAGGTTTTGCCAACTCACAGGTTAGGATTTTATTTGCTATGTTGAAAACATCAAGTTTACATGTAATAACATGTGAAATAGAAATGAAATGGCCACTGCCATTTTATTGATTTAATTTTTTAAATTTTAGTTTACAAAGTTAATTTTGGATTAGTTTTTTTTTTTTTTTTAATTTAATTCAAAAGGGATGAATGAATAACATGAATAAATCAAACTCCAATGTATAAACATACTTTGTAAATTGTTACAGAATACAGAAAATGAATCAAACTGGAAAGTTTTGTTGATGGAAGTAAACATTTTTGACTTATTGGACAAGACAAAAGAATAATTTTTAGAAACCTTGCTTTATACTTCCTTTTAGCCTTTGCTGTAGTGTCACAGAGTTCATTCCTTCCATTTTGTCTGGGTTTATTGCACAACTGTTAGGTCTCTGGTGATGTCCTATTTTTGACTTCTCTTTTAGATCTGGTCTTCCCATTAAATAAAACGTCCATTCTCTTCTGCTTGTTCTTTTCAGGGTCGCTACCATAGGGCAAGAGGCAGGGTACACCCTGGACAGGTCGCCAGTCTGTCACAGGGCTAACACATAGGGACAAACAACCATTCACACTCACATTCACACCTGTGGGCAATTTAGAATGATCAGTTAACCTAACCCCACTAATTGCATGTCTTTGGACTGTAGGAGGAAGCCGAAGTACCCAGAGAGAACCACACAAAAAACGGGCAGAACATGCACACTTCACACGGAAAGGACACAGCGATGTGGCGGAATGTGGCGGAATGAACCTCAGGACCCTGTGCCACTGTGCTGGCAGGTTTGAAGATTTGAAGTACAATCCAGTATGAAAACAGTTTGTAACAAAGAAAGGAAATTGATATGTTATGAATCTCAAAAGACCAGCGCTTAAAAAGCATGTTATGCTTAAAAAGCATGTTATGCGCCTCACCTGAGAGTTTCCAGGATACAGTTTGGACTCTTCAATCCAGCAGCCAACAGCTTTACTCCCGAGTCTTGCAGGTCATTATTACTCAGGTCCAGTTCTCCAAGACTAAAAACCTTAGAGATGAGAACTGTCCACAGAGCTTCACAGCTTCTCTCTGAGAGATTACAGCCAGACAGTCTGAAAAAAGGTTATATTTGTGATCGAATTAAATGACTTATTTTCAACTTACCACAAGAAAAACAAACAATTATATGTCCACATTATAAATGAGAATACAACTCAAAATTCATGCATTAAAAAAAATAGAACTTGCTTTGAAACAGCACAGTCACACCTTTGTATCTGTTAAACATGTGGGGAGTTAGTACTTTTAGTGATTATAAATTAATACCCACTGAAACAGGCATTCGTACTTTCCAAAGTAGAATATCAGTGATTGTTGTTGGTGGATACTGTTCAAAATAATCCTTAATGATCACAGACTGAACCCTCATGTAGCCACCATTCATCATCTGTTGTAAACAAGTTGCTTTAACTCCTTGCAAGAATTTTCTTTTTTATTTATATTCGATTTTGAAGTAAATCTCTGGGCCCACTTTGATATGGGTTACATCCACAAATGTCTTGGAAATGCTAAGATTTTCTGCTTCTATAGACTGTACATTGCAATATTTAAACAATAAAAGTTTGCATAGATGCATACTCACAGAGCTTTGTTGGAGGCTTTGATCACTGGCAGCATTCTCAGAAGCGCCTCCTCTGAAGCAGAGTATTTCTTCAGGTCAAACACATCCAGATCTTTTTCTGATGACAGTAAGATGAAGACCAGAGCTGACCACTGAGCAGGAGACAGTTTGTCTGTGGACAGTCTTCCCGATCTCAGAGACTGTTGGATCTCCTCCACCAGAGAACGATCAGTCAGTTCATTTAGACAGTGGAACAGATTGATGATTTTCTCTGCAGACAGATTCTCACTGAGTTTCTCCTTGATGTACTGGACTGTTTCCTGTTTGGTACTTCCTGTCTGTGTCAGCAGGCCTTTTAGGAGAGTCTGATTAGTCTGCAGTGAAAAACCCAGGAGGAAGCGGAGGAACAAGTCCAGGTGTCCATTTGGACTTTGTAAGGCCTTGTCCGCAGCACTCTGGTAGAAGTGTCTCAATGCAGATTCTTCTCTTCCTTCAGACTTCTGGGATGTAATTACTCGCTCTTCCAGCAGATTAACTCCGGAGTTTATGAAGGTCAGATGGACATAAAGAGCAGCCAGAAACTCCTGAACACTCAGATGGATGAAGCAGAACACCTTGTCCTGGTACAATCCTCTCTCCTCTTTAAAGATCTGTGTGAACACTCCTGAGTACACTGAGGCTGCTCTGATATCGATGCCACACTCTGTCAGGTCTGATTCATAGAAGATCAGGTTTCCTTTCTGCAGCTGATCAAAAGCCAGTTTTCCCAGAGATTCAATCATCTTCTTGCTCTCTGGACTCCAGTGTGGATCTGTCTCAGCTCCTCCATCATACTTGACCTTCTTCACTTTGGCCTGAACAACTAGGAAGTGTATGTACATCTCAGTCAGGGTCTTAGGTAGCTGTCCTCCCTCTCTGGTTTCCAGCACATCTTCCAGAACTGTAGCAGTGATCCAGCAGAAGACTGGGATGTGGCACATGATGTGGAGGCTTTGTGATGTCTTGATGTGGGAGATAATGGTGCTGATTTGCTTCTTCTCTCTGAATCTCTTCCTGAAGTACTCCTCCTTCTGTGGGTCAGTGAACCCGCTGACCTCTGTCACTCTGCCAACACATTCAGGAGGGATCTGATTGGCTGCTGCAGGTCGTGTGGTTATCCAGAGGCGAGCAGAGGGAAGCAGTTTCCCCCTGATGAGGTTTATCAGCAGAACATCCACTGAGGTGGACATTCTAGGGTCAGTTAGGATTGTAGTTTTGTGGAAGTCCAGAGGAAGTCGACACTCATCCAGACCATCAAAGATGAACACAACCTGAAAGTCTTCAAAGCTGCAGATTCCTGCTTCTTTGGTTTCAGTAAAGAACTGATGAACAAGTTCCACCAAGCTGAACTTTTCCTCTTTCAGCACATTCAGCTCTCTGAAAGTGAATGGAAATATGAACTGGATGTCCTGGTTGACTTTGTCTTCAGCCCAGTCCAGTGTGTATTTCTGTGTTAAGACTGTTTTCCCAATGCCAGCCACTCCCTTTGTCAGCACTGTTCTGATTGGTTCATCTCTTCCAGGTGAGGCTTTAAAGATGTCTTCTTGTCTGATTATGGCTTCTAGACTGTCTGGCTTACTGGATATTGTTTCAATCTGTCTGACCTCATGTTCATCATTGACCTCTGCAGTCCTCCCCTCTGTGATGTAAAGCTCTGTGTAGATCTGATTCAGAAGGGTTGGGGTTCCTGCTTTAGCAATCCCCTCAAACACACACTGGAACTTCTTCTTCAGTGCAGATTTAAGGTTTCGTTGACTCCACTGAAAGCTCCTAGTTCCCGTTCCTGATTGACCCAATATACACACACACACATCAAGAATTTATGAAGTGCACATATTTTGAATATATTTTTGTGTATTTCTTGAGACATTGTTGAATGTCTTAGCAGCGTAAATATTTATGGAATAGTCTAAGGAGCTTGGAAAGAAAAGCGTCTGGACTTGTTTAAGTTGCTTGAAAATGTTTCCCCTCTTATCCGAGAAGCTTCTTCAGTTCTAGGGGTCAAATGGTGGACAGTCCCAGATTTAAGCTCTGTGGGAGTATCCCCCCAAAGAGGGACAAAGGACCCCTGATGATCCTCTACCTAATCACATGAGCCGAGGTGTGAAAACGGGTGTGGGTCACAATCAGCCAGGGTTTCGGGCGAGCTCATTGTGAAACCTGGCCCCACCCTATCATGTGATTTCCTGAGGTCAGATGGCCCAGGATGTGAGTGGGCGTTAAGGCGTCTGGGAAGGGAACTCAAAACTGGATTATAGATGGCAGACAGTTGGTGTCGTAAACCACCGCCTCTGTTCAAAGATGGTCGCTCTCAGTGGACATAAATGGCTTCTTTCACTCCTCTTTCAAGACCAAACACCAGTGAGGGAGTTTAATAATAGTTTAATAGTTTAATTATTTATATAGCACATTTAATTACAACAAGAGCGTTGACCAAAGTGCTGTACAAGAATACAACATACATAATAAAATAACTGTACAAGAATACAACATACCTAATAAAACAACTTAGAGTATTAAAAGCAAACACCAAATATGAATTAACAAATAACTCTCATGCTGTATTAAAAGCCAGTAAATAAAAATGCGTTTTAAGATAAGATTTAAAAAGATTGACAGTGGGAGCCTGTCTGATGTGTAGGGGTAAATTAGGGAGGATAAGAAAGACAGACGCAACAACATTGTCATCCCCTTATGTGGCCGGTGTATCAGAGAAACTCAGGAGAGTTTTCTCCAAGCACGACATCCCAGTGCACTTCAGACCCAGCAATACACTCAGACAGAAACTGGTTCATCCCAAAGACAAAACTCCAAAACACAAACTTAACAATGTCGTGTATGCTGTATAGTGCAGAGAGGAATGCCCAGACCTCTACATTGGAGAGACCAAACAGCCACTTCACAAGAGCATGGCGCAACATAGAAGAGCCATCGCCAAAGGACAAAACTCAGCTGTTCATCTGCATCTTAAGGATAAAGGACACTTTTTTGAGGATGCCAATGTTCACATTTTGGACAGAGAGGACAGATGGTTTGAAAGAGAAATGAAAGAAGCCATTTATGTCCACTCTGAGTGACTATCTTTGAACAGAGATGGTGGTTTACGACACCAACTCTCTGCCATCTGTAATCCAGTTTTGAGAACCCTTCCCAGAGGCCTTAACGCCCACTTACATTCTGGGCCATCTGACCTCAGGAAATCACATGATAGGGTGGGGCCAGGTTTCACAATGAGCTCGCCCGAAACCCTGGCTGATTGTGACCCACACCCGTTTTCACACCTCTGCTCATGTGATTAGGTAGAGTATCATCAGGGCTTTGTCCCTCTTTGGGGGGATACTCCCACAGAGCTTAAATCTGGGACTCTCCACCATTTTACCCTTAGAACTGAAGAAGCTTCTCAGATGAGAGGAGAAACATCTTCAAGCAACTTAAACAAGTTCAGCCGCTTTTCTTTCCAAGCTCCTTAGACTATGAAGACCTGGATCACTGAGAACCTTCACAGACATATTTATGGAATAATTCTCACTTCTCAGCAAACGCTCAGCGAACTTATTCTGCTTCATTCTCTGCAGTAAGTCCACTGTAATCGTCACAAATGCTTCTCTGCTTCTCTTGCTCTGTTCCTCATTCACACTTTGTAAGACATCCTCGTCCTCACATTGACTCTTAAAACATTGTAGGTCATCTGGACTCAGATCTGTCTGGATCTTCTTCAGCTCGTTCTTCACAAAAGTGATGATTTTGTCCTCCAGTATCTGGAACATAATATTTTATGAATGACCCAGAAACTTTTCTCACAACACAGACAAAAAAAAGTACACAGGAGGAGGTATGTTTCTGGGAATCATTTTAATTAGGCACCATAAACACAATCCCTCAATGAAATTCAAACTCTGGCTGTCTAAAAGAATTGGGAAAAGGTAAATTCCACATATCTAATTTGTTCTACTGCTCTTAAATCTAAATGTTGTCACTAAAAGGTATCACGCATGTTGTTCATAAGAACCTTTATCTCATACACACAACTTTAAGGATGCTCTATCTGCAGCTGAATCTGGATAATATGAAACATTTATCCGATCTGGTGACGCAAACAGTAAAACTCTTTTCTCAACTATATTTGTGTCTTTTAGCCACCTAAGTGTTACCTAAGTGTGTGGTGTAACAATTTTATGCCCCTTTTCAGTACTGTAATTTTACGATAATAATCATTTGTTATTATTGCTGTATAAAAACATGTAAGGCTGCTTCAGGGCATCCATGGCATGAGGCAGAATGTTGTATCAGACCATGGTCCATAGCACTGTGTCAAATTTGTAATTCCCACTGCCGTAGAAAATTAAATCTTATTAACCCTTTATGACCTACCATAGAACCAAGTCTGCAAGAGCTTATATTATATTTTTACATGTTGTAGAGCCATTTTTGGGAGCATTTCAAGTTGCTATACATCAATACAACCATTACAGCCTAAATTTTAATAATATGTATGCATTGAGTGCATAGTAATTGCATAAATTGCAAAAAAAAGTGCAATAAACTACAAAAAAAACGTTTTTGTTTTTTTAACATATATTTCTAGTTAGAGAAATTTAAGAGACTTATCCCTCAAAACTGTAAATACAAAAAAGTTGCACAAAATATTTCCCACCACAGGAAATTTATTTTGAGTGTCTTCATAATTTTATTTTTGAAATACACCAATTTTTATACACTGCAGGAAAAACAAAAATAAATATTATAGTGCAAAAAAGCAGCATATGCATAAAAAAAAACTATTTCTAGCAGTGCAATATGAGTCCTAAGCAACCCAGAAATGACACAGAAAGTCATAAACTCAAAAATAACTTTTAAAAACACCAGTATAGGCTCATGAGGACTGGATGGTAAAAAACTACATTTCCGCGAAAATGACGTCTCTTCCGGTCTTGGGCAGGTCATGGCGGACATGCGATAGTTCGCGCTGACGTCTAATCCAATGTAGGAAGTTTTATGAACAGCTGATCGGATCGGCAAAGCGTTTTTTCTGGAATATTATGTTTTTGTTGCTGCAAGTGCTTTTTATGCAGTTTGCAAAGCTATATGTGGAAGGAAACCGTGACCTAGGACAAGATGATGGCATAAGATGTAAGTACAACTCCTCCGGTTTCATATGCAAAAAAAATTATTGTGCTAACTCACGTGGTTGCAGTGCTACTGGGATTTAAAAGTAGTTACGCAAAACGGAGCGTGCCCGCTCTGACCGGTTTTAAAGGGTTAAACGACAAAACTTTCTCCTGATTTCCTTCTGAAAATTTGAACATGACATATTCACAATCCATATTCCTTATGGATTATTATAATTTATCCTTTTTAGATTATAGAGACATGTGTGTGGTAGACTTCAGCTGGTGCAAATTTCAGCTGCTTGTGTTAATAATAGAACCCATTACTACTGTCCCTCAACAACTTCACTTGCTTCCTGTGAAATATCACAATGATTGTAGATTCTGCTTCTTTCTTTAAGTATCCCCATAAAGTCACAGCTCCATGTGGAAACAGAGAGGAAATGAGGAGAGTCCAGAAGGAGCTAAGTAGAGAGATAAGGAGGGGAAGGGACAGCTACAGGAGAAAGCTAGAGGAGCAGCTCCAGCAGAGTATTCCGTTTCGTTACTCAAGGAGAGTAACATATTCGGAATACTTTGGATCACTTAATATATGGCGAACACAGCTACTGCCAGATTGGCGTCTCAGAATAGGTGTGATTAATTCTAAGTCAAATATATTTTGCTTGAAACAAAACACAAACAAACAAAAAGGAGAAAATGGCAAAGATAAGAAAAATTGAAGAAGATTTGGAGGAGATTAAGCTGTCGCTTAACTCGTTGTCAACAGACGTCGAAAGAATAGTTAAGCAACAAGGAATTTTAACGACTTTAATGAACCAAATCAAAGAATTAAAAAGCTTGATTAAGGAAAAGAATAAAACAATCCAGCTCTTAGAAAGGAGAGTGGAGGATTTAGAACAGCATGCACGACTGGAGGACGTGATTATTACCAGTTTGGAAACCAAACACAGGAGCTATGCAAGAGTTACTGAGACTGGGAGTGGTGTGAGGTCTGGTGGAGATGAGCCCCTGGTGGAGGAGAAACAAACAGAGCGTCAAGTAGTGGAGTTTTTTGCAAGTAAAAAACTTCCCCTGCATAGCAACAACATTGCGGCGTGTTATACCCTCCCCAGAAAGAATGCCAGGGCACCTGCAGCAATAGTAGTAAAATTTCTGAATCGAAAACACAAAATTGAGCTACTGAGGCAGTCCAGACAACTGAAAGGGAGTGGAGTATATGTGAAGGAACATCTCACAAAAAAGAACGCCAATATTGCCAGACAAGCCTGTATCATGCGTAAAGAAAAAAAAATCCAAGCAACATGGACAAGAAATTGCAAAGTGATGATAAAGCTCAACGGAACACCAAAAGAACCCAAGTTTGTAATGATCAGGGATTCCAAATCCCCCGTAGATTTGGACAACTACGGGGGATGATTACACTGTTGCGGTCGGATGGCAGAAGGTCTGTTATGATGTGCTTGCTAACAACTAGCCGAACTTATTCAATGAAAGACACTATTTCCGACTGTCGAAGGGGGAAAATGGCAAGGTAGGAGACAGTTGACTGGAAGAGTATTAGTGTGAAGCTGCAGGTAGATATGGAACTGGGATCAACGGTGTTACCATTATGCGCGGAGACGAGATATAGATCTGACCCGCAGTTATTTATGGATCAGAAAGAACTGTATAGCTATGAGTGGTTTCTCAAAATATGTTGTGAAATACTTTTATGGATGTTGATGGGTATTTCATAAGGGTAACAGACATTTAAAGAATACCCAATCACAATGACTGAAGATTCGAATTACAAATTACATGATTTTGAAAATAATATCAATCCAGAAGGGAATGTGCTTAATGCAATTAATGTTACATGCGAGTATTATACTGAGAATCAATTTAGGGATAATGTTGACTTAGGCAATACATTTTCATTAATTCATTTCAACTGTAGAAGCCTCTATAGAAACATGGATAGATGAGGAAAGGGGTTGGGACTTTCACATTGATGGGTATGAATTACATCATATAAACAGATCTAATAAGAAGGCAGGAGGTATGGCACTTTTTGTTAATAGTGATTTGAAATGTAAACAGGTTGAATATATGTCTGTGGCTATTGATGATTTAATGGAGTGTGTGACAGTAGAAATAGAAATGGAAAGAAAGAGTAATATAATTGTTACTTGTATGTATAGAAGGCCTGGGACACTGATAGAAACATTCACAGATGTAGTAGAAGATTTATTGAGCAAGGTAAAGGGAAATAAGACATTCTGTATTTGCGGTGATTATAATATTGATTTTTTTTAAAATGTCAAATCATAAGGCATCATCAGATTATTTTGAGTTATTATTTGGAAGAGGGTTCTACCCTCTGATTACTAAACCTAGTAGAATAACTGGAAAGTCAGCTACTTTAATTGATCACATTTTCATTAATTGCTTGGAAAGCAACATTATAAGTGGTCTTGTCGTGAATGACATAAGTGATCATTTACCTGTTTTTGTTACTTTAGATTATAAAATGACACTAAAGGAGGAAGTGTGTGTGGACAGACATATGAGAATTAAAAATGATGATGCAATAAATAAGTTCAGGCAAGATCTTATGAAAGAAGATTGGAATGAGGTTTATGTGAATTACGTCAATGCTGCATACGAGGCATTCTTAAATACTTATTTGGTTTTTTTATGAAAATCACTGTCCACTGGTATTATATAAGCAAAAGAAAAAGAAAACTACTGGTAAACCATGGATAACAAAAGGACTAGAAAATGCATGTAAAAAGAAAAATAAACTGTATAGAGATTATATAAAACTTAGAACAAAGCCTGCTGAAATGAAATATAAAGTTTATAAAAATAAGTCAGTATTAATTATCAGAAAGGCTAAGAAAGAGTATTATAATAAATTATTTTACAAAAAAAAAATAATGTTAAGGGTACGTGGATTATCTTTAAAAAAGTATTGGATAATAAACATACATCCTTAAATTTACCTACTTACTTTAATAAGGAAAATAAGGTTGTAAGTGATATGAATGAAGTGGTAAATGAATTTAATTATTTTTTTGTAAATATTGGGCCTAACCTGGCAAACTTAATTAGAAAACAGGATGATTTAGAATGGGATGACGAATGGAATGGTACAGTCTATGTTTTTAGGGGAAATCACTGATAAAGAAATCATAGCTATTGTAGCAAAATCTAAAAACAAGACATCCACTGACTGTGATGGGTTAGACATGGTCATAGTAAAAAAAACCTTGGATTGTATAATCAAACCTCTCTGTTATATTTTTAATCTCTTATTTTATAAGGGTGTATTTCCTGAACGAATGAAAGTGGCAAAAGTTATCCCTCTCTATAAATCAGGAGACAGACATAGTTTTAATAATTATAGACCAGTATCATTACTATCACAGTTTTCTAAAGTGCTTGAAAAACTCTTTGCACAAAGATTTGATAGTTTCATTGAAAAACATCAACTGTTAAGCGAAAGTCAGTACGGCTTTCGACGGAACAGATCAACAGCAATAGCATTAATGAATGCTATTGAAGACATCTCATCAGCAACACATCATAATAAATATACTATAGGGGTATTCATTGATTTAAGAAAAGCTTTTGACACTCTGCAACACTCCATCTTGATTTCTAAG